CGGTGGAGTTGTAACCGACGGTGGAGTTGTAACCGACGGTGGAGTTGTAACCGACGGTGGAGTTGTAACCGACGGTGGAGTTGTAACCAGTGGTAGAGTTGTAACCAGTGGTAGAGTTGTGGCCGATGGTATTGCTGGCCATGGCGCCAGACAAGGCTCGAGCCACAGCTCCGGACCGGTTAGAGCTGTTCGGCGGGGAGGTTGAGTGGTTAGGCGACAAGAGGCACTTTTGGTCGCTGTCTTTAAGATTAAGCAAGTAGTAAGTTAAACCCCACATTAATGTGCCGCCTAAGACAGCACCAAGACTAGCACCACCCACCACATCCAGACACGACCTCGTGTCTTGGCGGGCGTGGTGATCTTCGCCGCCTAGTTCACGATGGTTCCCCGAGTCCTTGATGATCCTTTTCCACGCCTTCGGGACTTCGGTCAGCAGTTGCACTCTCTCTTCTTCGTCCAGGTCCCGCACATCTATCACTTGCAGTTGCACTCTCTCTTCTTCGTCCAGGTCCCGCACATCTATCACTTGCAGGTTCGTGCCCTCGGCGTCCTCGTCGGAAGTATGCTGCATTTCCGGCCACCCCCTTGGCTTCTTGCCAAATGCTTCTTCCAGGATCGAACCGGCAACTGACGGGTTCGCGTCCTTCACATGCTCCCTCAGACCTTCAGCGAGTAGGCGTTCCACTTGTTTAGAAGCACTCTCATGCTCCATGGACTCCTCGGGCCCATGGTAGACACGGAGCCGATTCCATCTTCCCAGCCAGTCGTAGTTGGACAGATCCGAGTCGAGGAACTCCCTCGGGGGAGCCAAGACCAGAACTCGAGCAGCGTGTGCCCCATCGGACATTACAGCCATTTTAGCCACACACCCGCTGAGCGGCGATATCGTCCCGTCCGGACTTAGGAAAGCCGCCAGCGCCTCACCTCCTCCAATGCGCACCCAACGTAGACCGGAAACCGTCTTCATCAAAAAAATTTTTTACACGACCACCGGAAATCGGCGCGAGTGTGCACAGCCGGGATCGATCCCCCGACCTGAGCCTTCAGGTAACCACCTCCCAGACCGTCGGGAACGGCCTGCAACGAACATTGTGTGTCTGTTGCCGGCTGCGGAGCACCCGGGATGCTACAAGAAGTTGATGTAAGAAAAACTCTACCTGGTCTAGTCTAGGCTTCTCAGTAGCGGGTACACCTCTCGCTGCATTCGCTCGCCGCGTTGTCGGTACAGTCAACTCAGGTAGGCACATTGGTTTGTTCAGTATGGTTTTTATTTGGTCCAAAGTAAACCTCTAGGCTCGTTACGTCTTTGTTGATTCGGCTGTGCGGAACTGCCCAATGCTCTCTTTCCGTCGTATGGAACGACAGTGGAGTAGTTCCACTGTCGTCCCGGACAGCGAGGAGATCCCTGATCCGGTCAGGGTCAAGGCGTACTGTACCCAGGAATCGAATTTCCGTACTGAACAGTTCCACCTTTGTCCAGCTTAACGTGAAACGGTGTTTCAGTGATCGGCGCAACACGGTCAGAAGTAACTCCTCGTGCCGGATGAAGTACCTGCCACGATATCATCGATGTAGATGCGCACCTCCGTTCCTGCCAACAGGCCTGAAAAGATCATCTGTTGGAACTCCGTAGGGGAACATTTCTGCCACCTGTGGAAGTACCGTTCATTGAAAATGCTGTTGTAGACCCACTGTGAACCAAGTACACCTCTGGTTCTCCTTAGTGATTGGTAGGTGCCAGAGAGCATCCTTCAGGTCGATCTTTGAAAAGACACGTGTCTCACTGGGAGTCGGACATTGAAGAAAGGGGAGTGTAAGAGTTGGTAATGTGCAAGCTAGCGCAATCACTAACCGCCGGTTGCCGTCTCGTTTGGGCACGCCGGGGCCGCCCGGCTCTGCAGGTATGACCAAGCCTTTCTGGGGTTTCAGGCAGGATCTCCAACGTGCTCTGGACCTGCTCGCTCCGGGCTCATCCTTCGAGCCGGCTCCCTTCGCGGCTCGCTCGAGGTGGTTAACTGGATGGGCCCATGCAAAATTTACTTGGCCCATCGTCCAGTGACTCACCAGGTCCCCTGCAAATGCGTCTCCGACTTTTCTAACACCACGACAAAGATCAAAGGCAACTCTGTTCTACCACGCCGCCCGTTCCTGAGCGGAGAACTTAGCAAGGTTGGTAGAGTGTCGTCCACCGTGGTGTTAAGGCGGCCACCCACACCTTTATAGGCGACCCTCTCGGATCAAGGCGCACGAGGGTTGCTGATTCGGAATGCCTCCCACGCACAGGACGTTCATTTCTGGTCATCCGCAGTGCCACGTCGGTCGCCTCGGAGGGGACGATCAGCTTCCGGTAGGCGGCTGCCAGATGTCTGGTGACAGTGGCCTTTCAGTGACACTGGCTCCGCAGGTGCCCCGGGTTTCCACAGCTGAATGAAACATTGTTATCGCCCTATTTCGATGAAGGTCGCCATTGCGAGGCTTCTTGCCCGGCGGGCGAGACACGAAAACTGGAAGCCGACCCAATCGATGTCTCAGGACGGCCCAATAGCCGTCGTCACCTTTCCGGTTGCTATGCCAAAGAAAAAGGTCCTCTTCCACCATGTTAAGTCCCAGTGACAGTTGTGGGTGTCTCCGTGTCAGACACAGGCCGGGTGGACTCGCCGTCACGCAGAATGGACAAGAAGCGAAGAATATCTTTCTCTAACGGGTCTTCAAAGGAAAAGATATGGGACGAGTAAATGCTCCTCCAATACTTCAGTACTTCCTCATCCATGTTGCTGTCAGCTTGATAGCAGTCGAAGATGCATTCGTGTGTCACATAACCTGGTACTTTGTGGGGAGTGTGATATGGCGCGAATCTATCTTCGGTGGTGTTGAAATCCAATTGTGTCGCCCACGGACCCAACTTGCCCTCCGGGTCGTAGAACTTGGACGCGTACCTGGCCTTAGTGCAAGTACACTGTGGACGTGCGAGACGCGGTCGACAACCGTCCTCCGGATTGAAATAACTGCACTGGTCATTACGCTTCAAGTGCTTGTCAATTTCACGGCCTAGCAATCTCTTTTGTCTGTCGCTGGCGTGGCCAAAGTCAACCCCGGGAATCGAACGCCCGACCCCTTCTGCTACTCGGTTGTGATAAAGGTCACGAGCCAAGTCTCCTTCGTTACATCGCATGGAACATCCGTCGGGACCCCTGTATTGAACGACCGCCTTGAATACAGTCGGTCCATCGAACTTGAATGGGTAACCATAGTAATAGCACATAGTGTCCTTACCGCAAGCTATGTGGCCTCCGTTATCTGCACAATCAGACCACTTTAACAGTCCCCAATTGTCTGAGTGGGCTATAACGTATCCGCTGGTGATGTTTCTCGCTGCGCAAATGTCCTCCGGCACTGTGAGTGAAGCCAACTCCGACTCAGAAATCAACGTCGTTATATCATCGACGTTCGGCCAGCGGGGCTCTACGATCACCACCGGCTTGCAGGTCGCATCCGTGACACCCCGGAAAGTCGGGTCGTCCGTACCCAGGGAAGAGCCAACGGTATCGCTGGCCGCGGTTCCCATCGTGGAATCATAACCCACGGTACTACTGGCCACGTCATACAAGGCACGCCGCCCCACGACCTCGGACCCCGTAGAGCTGTTCGGGGAGGTGGAGCTGTTCAGCGTCGTAGCAGGCGACAATACACAGGGACCGGCTTCTCCACGTCCCGAGAGGTAGAGGGTCAATCCTGACATAAACACACCGCCCAGAGCAGCCCCAATACCAAGGCTTGCGAAGAACCGGGGTCTCTGCCAGCACCTCCTTGTGTCTTTGCGGACGTCCTGGCCTTCTTTGCGGACGTCCTGGCCTTCAACCTCGAGTAGTTCATGATACTCCGCTGTAACCCTGGAGTCTTCGATGATGCTCTTCCAGGCCTCTGGCACTTCGGTCAAAAGTCGTTCTCGCTCTTCGTCTTCTATGTCCCTTACCTCTATTAAGTCCAGCTTTGGACCCACCTCCTCAACGGCGCCGTCGTCGTCGTCGTCGTCTGAAGCATGCTGCATCTTCGACCACCCCATCAGCTTCTCGCCGAATGCTTCTTCCAAGATTGAATCCGCGACTGACGGGTCCGCGTCCTTCACATGCTCCCTCAGACCTTCGGCGAGTAGCCTTTCCACATGCTCAGACGCACTCGCTTGCTCTGGTGACTCGTCAGGCTCATGGTAGACACGGAGCCGATTCCATCTCCTTAGCCAATCGTAGTTGGTCAAGTCAGAGTCGAGGAACTCGTCCGCCGGCGCCAAGACCAGAACTCCGGCGGCGTGTGCCCCGTCGGACATCACAGCCATTTTGGCTACACACTCGCTGAGAGGCGACATTCCTCCGTCCGAACTTAGGAAAGCCGCCAGCGCCTCACCTCCTCCAACGCGCACCAAACGTAGACCGGAAACCGTCTTCATCAAAAATTAACACGATAATAGGTGGCAGTGGGTCGTGTTTTGTCTTCAGGTAAAATTGGGATTTGACCGAGTCTGCCGTTAGCTTTTTATGGGTTGAGGGACTGCGTACCATCGTGCTACGGACTTGAGTTACGACGTAGGGTAGTGACCAAGTGGGGCCGTACTTTTCCGCCGATTTGAGCGCAGATGCTCCCGGGGTAAAACCCCACTCGTTACCCGTACATCTCCTATCTGCAGCGGCTCACCTGCGTGTGGCTCTGTCGCAGTCAATTCGTGTCTCACTGCAGACTGGATTTCGAACAATCCTACTGCCTCGGAGGCCCGATTTCTGTTACAGCGGCTTCTGTAGGCCCGTCGCGTTGTGCGGGGTCGCGTTGTGCGGGGTCGCGTTGTGCGGGGTCGCGTTGTACGTGTACGTTGCTAAGGCAACCGGCAGTTCGAGTCCGCATTGTGACTGCTTTCGTTTATGCCGTTGCTCCTTGGCACGTACGGTGGTGACTTTACGACATCCGCCCGTAATACTTTCGTTACGAACGCTGCAAACGCGCCATCGAACTCACTGCCGTAGAACTGCCGCGGCACACCGAAGTACGCAACGAACCCGAACGTCAACAACGCTTGGTCCTGCAAGAGACTAACTACAACTTTTACAGCTCTCGCTCGTGCGTGTCCCAGGTCGGTGATCTCAGCTTTGTCGTCCCAGAGAAGCTCAACCTTGTCTCAACCGAGCAATACGTCTCACTTAATGGAGTGTCCAACACACCCCTGCGCGCTAGGATAACAGAACCAGTTGTCGTAAGCGTAGGAGGAAGCTCGTGCAGCACGTCCCTCGTTGTCGTGCAGCCGAGAGGGCCGGCGCTGCTAGGCGTGGATGTCCTAGTGAAGACTGGCTTGTTAGAGCTCGATGAGGCAGGCATGAGACTGAACATACCAGCGCTGTACACCGAAGTCGAACCGCCCAAGCAGGTACGCAAGCACGTCGTATCTGGTGTTGACGAGACTAAGTCCGACGAAGAACTGCTGACGTGTTCCCCAGACCTAGGAGTGGCCAGGTCGAGTACCAGGGTCGCTTCGAAGTCGAAGGACGACCTCACAAGGCAAGACTACGTCCACTACCACCCACCACCGAAGCCGAGTTAAAGAGACAAGTGGAGAGCCAGCTAGACAAGGGAGTCATAAGGCTTAGCAAGTTACAGTGGGCCGGGGCCGGGGGTGCTTCTACTGCACAGCTGTACTTCCTTCACGTACTCAAAGCTTGCACGACGTCACGCCAACGACTACGGCCCTGTTTCTTCCGCACAGTCATTACGACGCGTCCAACCAGCTAGCGACGTGCTCTGTCGCACTATCTTCGTGGCTACCTCAGACATTGCAGTCCGACAGCCTGGGCATCCACTGACCGTACTCCGCATTTGACTGCTGCGTCCGCTGCGCCTTCGAGACTTTTCGGCACTCACGACACTGAGGCTCCTTGCTGCCATGCGAACGCGTCACAACTCAGGCCGGTTTTGCCAACCCTCCAGGAACGCCACGGAGAACTCGCTGCGCGACTCTGTGCAGTGCCCTCGGAAGAGCCGAGCACTCAGGTGGTCAAGATCTTCGGAGCAATGGTCGCGGGCAGAGGGTCGCGCAACGCCTTGGTGGTGCGTTGTAGGCCGGTGCTGGAGATGTTGAGGTTGTCGGCGGGTTTAGTCTTGGTTGTGGGCGGGTTTAGTCTTGGGTGCCGAGAGGTCGGGTTGCCGGATCGGGACCGCGCAAAGGTGAGGGTGGCACCGAGTCGTCGGTGACGAGGGAGGTGGGACATGGCCACGAGTACACCGGAGAGTGAGACGCAACCAGGCGAGTTTTTCTCACAGACCGCCAGCGTTAGGTCCACGTGCTGTGTGTTCCGTTCGAAGAGCCGCTTCTGCTTCACGTGGTTTGTCTGCGCTGCGAGTGTCTTAGCCACCGAGACGACCAGGAATTGGACACAAGGTACTGACCATGGCGATAGGCTAATGCACGAGCCACCGCTTCGGACCATATAAAGCTCCCCGATGTCCTCCTAAGGATCGCAGAGACCCATCCCCTTTGTACCCCTCCCATCTCATCAGCTGTCCTGGTAACCCAACTAACTGTTTTCTCAATCTTTTAGAGGGGGATGCTGAATTTTCTTTCTGAATTCAAAAATGAATAGCGCGCCCAAAAAAAGCGACCTTGAACGCTTCTTAAATCAGAAGGTGTTCATGCGTTTCCAAGGGGGTCGAGAAGGTAAGCCGAGAAGGGTATAATAAACTCCCAACCCCATTGAAGTTTCAGGCCGCCTTAAAGGCTTCGATGAGAATACCAATGTGGTCTTGGATGAAAGTGTAGAATATGTCCGAAGTAGGTCACACTTGACTTTGTCGGGGAGACACTTGACTTTGTCGGGGAGACACATTACTTGTCGGGGAGACACCTTGACCTTTGTGGTAGATACCAAGAATGAACCCACTCAGAGGAAACGACATCTTGGACTGTTAGTGGTCCGAGGCATCACTGTCGAATCTATGAGTGCCGAAGAAGACATGATAGAGATCGAGAACCCCTATAATTAATTCTGCGTCATCCAAACGGACGGTTTTAAGGATGAAGCAGATCCACCGTCTAAATACCCACTCATTTTGCGGAACGGCAGGCCGGAACGGCAGGCCGGGTGGAGGACCTGCCAGTCGTTCGTTACCAATAATGTCCGTTACGTGTGATGGGGTTCCCATGCCTGCAGAAAACAGGCCGCTGATCTGCCATGTGGGGAGAGCGGTGATGACCCAAGTGGTGGTCCCTTTCAAGCGCCTTCCCTATGGTCTTGTTGTCGACGTAATGATTAATGGATGAGAAGGCATGCTCCATGAGACCGGGCTCTCTTTGTACTTTATGACCCGATATTAGAAGCATACTTGTGAGGGATACTGCGATCAGCGCTCCTAATCCGATGCCGTACGCACTATTGTTCGACTTCATTGTGCAGATCCGTTAGTTGACCAGCCTTGTCCAGGAATATTTTTATTTGCGACCAGCCAGGCAGGCTTCATGGTCGGCACTTTCACAATCACGTACTTCACCAGTCTTGTCACTGGCGTAACGTCACGAGCCGTCTCCTCAGGTCTTCTAAAGGGTCGGTGGGTGCTTCTTCTTGAATAGGTCCTTTGTATTCTTCCAGCAGAGTTAGAAGAGCGCGCAAGTCTTCGGCTGACTGTCGGTCAACCATTAGCTTCCCATGACTGGCCAGACGTTCGATGGACTTCACTGCCCGTCGGGCGACCAGGCAGCCCAGGACGGACTGAGTCCTTCGCAGTGTCGCTGTCACGTCGGAGACCAAAAGGAGGACGGCGTCACTGTTGTCTTGGTCAATAGCCATGTGCAGCATGGCCTTGTAGACGAAATCGTGTGCGTAGCGAGGTTGCCACAGAGCGAACACGAACTTGGCTGCCTGCGTGTGTGCGTACTCCAACAACCTCGGCATTCTGAGTCTACTCATCGAAGATTCTCCAGGCGATGGTTCTCCGGTCGAGGGTTGCCGGGTCGAGGGTTGCCGGGTCGAGGGTTGCCGGGTGGAGGGTTGCCTATTTAAGGATTGCTCGCTCTGGAGGAGCTCCCCACTTTTGGGGACTAGTGCCCAGCGTGTTTCGTCTACCCACCAGCTGAGCATTATCTCTCGGAGGACGTTGAACTTTGCGACTTGGCGCAGGTAGTAGACGCCGTCGACGGCGACCGCGGTCGTAAATAGTTCATCCAGGGCCGTCAGCAGTCGCCGAAAAGCGGGGCCCTTACCGGTCAGCGTGCTGCGGTCAAACATGTTGAGGTATGGTGGTCGGAGTGCCTGACTTACTCGGCCACGAGCGGTACTCGTGCCGAGGAGACCCGTAAACTGATACGGGTGATGGAGCGGCAGAATATCGTTGTAAATCGTTGACTCGACCTCGGTCGTAGACCCGACTTCAGTTGCTAAACCAGGCAGCAAGCCATAGCGGAACAAAAGAGGAGCCTCACGATCCCGCTCACTCTTTATCGGGAGTGTATTCAGTGTGGGCGTCTCACCGAAAATGATGACGCGAGAGAGACTGCCTGCGATTTCCGCGACCAGGGCATTAAACAACGCGCGGTCGTGATGAATAACGGAGAACTGAATCAGGCCAACCGACCGCTCGATTGCCAACGCTTTCATGGCCTTATATGCCCTAGCAGCCAGACTGTAATTTTCTTCCAAGCAAGGGTCTGTAATCCAGTCCGACCTCAAGTGGCTTCGTTTTTCCCCAGTCATGGGGGTGTTAGCTAATGACATGGGGCTCTTAGCCAACTGCTTAGCCAAGGGCATGGAAACGTGCTCAACCATGCCCACCAATGGTTCCTCGCGGGGGGCAAAAATTAAATGGCGGCGATTGGTCCCCGGCGGGAAGATTGCGGGGGAATGACCCCCCCAGGCGGTCTCGTGGCTGAAAACCCGTCCGCCGCGATACTGGACGACTTTGCGGGACCCTATAGTTTCCTACACCCTGATTTCGGCACATGTGTGGCTACGCCAGTCCGCGTCCAAGAAATAGGGGAACTCACCCTCCAATCATTCTACCCTTCTTTCTCGCTGGCACTCATCGGCGCTGCTCTCCAGCAGATCGAAGACGACGGCGCACAGCCGACCCCAGAGATCTTCTCTGGAGTGGAATCGAATCGAGGAGTGGAATCGAACCAGGGACTGGAGGCCAGTCGGGAAGCGGAATCGAACCGGGGAGTGTCGGGTGCCAAGTCGTCGGCCACGGTCAAGCCCGCTGGCGAGGGAGGAGAAATGCCAGGCGTACTTCGTGCGCTGTTGGGGTGTCAGAAGGAGCCTTGGACCCGAGAGGCAGCCGAAGAATTTGTCACGGCCAAAACAGACGAAATCAAAGATCTCATTGCCAACGAACCGCTCTTACAAAATGCCCTGGAAAGGCTAAGAGCACCGTCAGACGTGCTCCTGAATACTATGGAGGCTTTAATGAGGGACAAATTCATAAGGAACAAGGAGATCTGTTCCCAGCTCGTAGCCACGGACAATAGAGTTCTACAGTTTAAGCCAGATTATAGTCGCAACGAAATTATCAACAGCCAGACTCTTATTGACCACAGGCGGTAAGTCGGTTAAACACACGTGTGGCTAGGTGGACGTGTATACCTAACCACACGTGTGTGGTTAGGTGCACGGGTGTAGACATCCGTAGACATGTTTTTTTCAGAAACATTGTGTTGATAGATCGGTTGCTGTCCAAGGTGCGCGAGGATTTCAAGCACCCGTTGCGCGGCATATTCCGATGGATTATTGACTCCGTTCCAATCGAGTTGGATTTTCACCGGCGTCCGTTTTTGGGAGTAAACGAGCATAAGGAGGAAGAGCAGAGTTTGTTACCCAAGGATATAATTCCTGTATCTTCATTTCAAAGTCATGTGTTGAGACACAAGGTGGATTCACGGAGCTACTTTGAGGAAGAAATAGAAGCGGCGCACTTGTTCGATCGTTTTCCATGCAATGAGAAAGAAGATCGGAAGGAGACGGGTGATCAGGAGTTTATTCGACGACGTAAAAGACGATTGATTGAGGAGTTAACAGGTGGTATTGACACCGCGGTGGTGGAACCTTCCGCTTCATTCTTGATGGGCTTCGGCCGTCTGCCATACAACGAAGTGCAATGTTTTAACCCCTCCGTGTCCCGCTCCCACTGCGCCATCGTGCCTCTAGTCAAGGGACACTTCGTCATCGTCGACTTGAACAGCAGCGCAGGCACTGTTCTCAACGGCACACCCCTCCCCCCCTGCGTCTTTCTCCCACTCAAACCTACCGCCAATCCTCGCTGGGCCGACGACAGACGAGACCGAGGCGACGATAGACGATCCGAACGGAGCCGCTCCGACCGCAACGACTACCGCAGAAGAGACGAGCAGCGAGAGGACCGCGACGACTGGTCCCAGGACTACAGGGATTTTGCAAATCGGAGACGGCCGCGAAGAGACAGTTCTGAATGCGGACGTGGGCACACGGAAGCGCGCGGGCACACGGAAGCGCGCGGGCACACGGAAGCGCGCGGGCACTCGGAAGCGCGCGGGCACTCGGAAGCGCACGGGCACTCGGAAGCACACGGGCACACGGAAGCGCGCACCCGGCCGCGCGACGGGCCTTACGGCTCTGAGTCTCGGAACCCGGCTCACGCCCGGCCGAACGGACACTGGGATGACCGCAGAGACCGGGACGATCGTAAGGAGTTGAATGACCGGAGAAATCGAGACGAGAGGAAGGACTGGGACGATCGGAGAGACTGGGACGATCGGAGAGACTGGGACGAGAGGAAGGACTGGGACGATCGGAGAGACCGGGACGATCGGAGAGACTGGGACGATCGAAGAGACCGAGACGATCGGAGAGACTGGGACGATCGGAGAGGACCGGCTTACCACGAGTTGCTTTTGGGCACCAGCTCTCGCGTGTTCAAGATAAAGTGCGGCCGCGTGGACAAGAGTGAGCTGCTACGGATCCGCAGACGCGAACTGCAGCAGAAGCTGCGAGCTCTCGAAGCGGGGCTGAGTCGAGATTCGGCGGGGCGTCCGGAGACTAAGAACTCAAGAGGAGAACATACCGGTGGTGACCGAGTTAAGATCAGAGGGTTCCCGAGGGCATTTGAGACGCAAGATTTAGAAAGTCTCCTGAGGCAAAACCAGTTCCCCTTTCGGGTAAGGCACGTCCCGTAGTCACCCCCGCCCCCACGGTGGTGGTATGTCCCCTTCTCGGCGCTCCCTCCCGCGTTCGAGTTCAATGGATGTTGTGTTATAGGAAATAAAGCGTGTGCCTGTGGGTGAGAGCGGCGGCGGATCTTCTGCCTTCGTGGTCGTCTTGAGCACGGGCACGATTGCTTGGCGAGCGAAGGAGTTCTTCAACGGGCGGACTGTGCGCGGTCGTGTGCTCACTGCGCGGATTATTTCTGACTAAGCTGGAGGGACGGCAGTGAGAAGTATGGGGGGGAGGGGGGGGTTACAGCGTTTCTGATCGAGCAAGATCCCTGGTCTGATCGGGTGTGTCGTGGGTCGTCTTCATCGGAATAAGTTCTATAGGGGGGTGTGAGTAGACCGGTTTGTTCCAGAAGATGACTAACTACCTATCTACACTTCGAAGTGTACACTTCGAAGTGTCCACATTCCTTAGTGTCCACTACGTCCTTGGTTTTGGGGGAGGGGGGGGGGGGAAGGGCACGTCGTTGGCCTTACTCGGCTGACGAACCCTTACCCGGCCCCCACTCCTAAGAGGGCGGGAGTCTTGGTTTTGGCTTAGCGACATGCTGGACTGACCTAGCTTTCCGAATAGTGATCAGTAGAGATTTTCCGGACGTAATCGACGTTCATGAACCGGACTCTGTGCAGTAGGTAGTCGAAGAGTTCATCTGGGTATTTCTGTCGCGCTTCCTTGGCTGGCATCCGAATCCGGTTGCCGTCATCGAACATGACGATAGCTTCGTAGTCCCCAGGAGTGTTCTGGGACATTCGCAGGTGGGCGACCCGACAACCTACCTTCTGCGAACTCCTCTCCGCCGCAGCCGGCGGTGCGACGGCCCGACTCTTGACGGGTGGTGAGTCCCTAGTAACTTGTCTGGTAGCTTTAGCCGGCGACTCTGAGGAGGAAACACATGTGTGTACGGGAACGTGTTCAAGGGGCTGTGCTTACTCGTGACGTGTCGGGGCGAAGGCTTGGCTGTCTCTTTAGCGGCACTTTTCCTCGACGGAGGAGCTGCGCTAGACTTGCCCTTGGACTTCTTTTTCCGATACTGCGCTTGGTGCTTCTGCATCTCCGTGTGGATGTTCTTGTCGTCAGTTATAATGTTCTCTGCAGGCTCCCAGGTGTCATCACTCGCTGAATACCCCTTCCACCGGATCCGCCACAGCGGCTTGGGGTCCTCAGTGTAGTCCACTATCTGTTCGATGTCGTAGACATCCTCCTCAACCTCAACGGGAGCAGGTGCCTTCGACCTCTTGCCAGCCATCGCACCTAAGGACCTTTTTTTTAACAGAATATCTAAAAGACAGAAGGTCCTAACCTATCTGTCCGCAGACGGGTCCGCAGACCCCATAACCAACCTACCTCTATTCTCTGGCAAGACGTTATTCCCAGCTCAACCAGCCAAGCACACGCGTGTGCTCCTCAGAAAACAACCAACACCCCTTCACCCTGACGCTTGGCGGCTGACCACCTGCGGCCGCCTACGCAAGTATTACCCGCGGTGTCGACCATGGCCCCTGCCCCAGTTACAGAAACCCAGTCGGTCGTTCTTTTCCTCTGTCGCCACCGGTTTCAGCACCGCCAGTTTCAGCGCCACCGGTTTCAGCGCCACCGGTTTCAGCGCCACCGGTTTCAGCGCCACCAGTTTCAGCGCCCTTTCAGAGCAAAAGGGAGTCGTCTGTATCCGGCTTCTTCTTAAGTCCTGCGCCCGGGTCTGCAGCTGGAGCGGCAGGCGGCGGCGTGTTCGGCTGCGTCCTCTCGCGCTGGCTGACTGGAGCCGGCTCCGCCTTCCAAATAACCTGCGGACCGTGGCGCACTCGGGTGGCCTTGACATAGTAGTCTCCCTCGGTTCCTTCCGTCGGCGGAAGATGCAACGTCGGGTCCTTAATGTCCATCCAGTATAAATGGGTTTTGTGTCTCATACCTAGTCTGCAGCAAGACTACGTCACCTGTCATCTCCACCCCCCCCCCCCC